CCTCCTCCTCCTCCTCCTCCTCGTCCTCATCCTTGTCCTCCTCCTCCGCCTCTTCATCCTCGGCCCCCTCCTCTCCATCATCGTCGAAAGCCGCATCGTCGTCAGCATCACCAGCATAATCATGTTCGTCCTCATCATAAGCACTGTTGCCTTCATTCTACAGTCATCAATATCAGCAGTAGCCACATCACCCTCACCACCCTCATCACCATCATCACCACTACCTGCAACATCAGCATCACCACGAGCACCATAAACGCCATCAGCATAGTTACAGTATTCAGTATCGGCAGTAGCATCATCATCCTCACAATCATCATAATTATCAGCATCATCGTCATCATCATCATCATCATCATCATCATCATCATCATCATCATCATCATCAGCAGCATCATTATCAACAGCAGCAGCATCATCATCAGCAGCATCAGCATCATCATCATCATCATCATCATCAGCATCATCATCATTAGCAGCATCGTCATCAGTATCATCGTCATCAGTATCAACAGTATCACCATCATCAATATCAGCATCAAATTCATCAGCATCATCATCATCAACATCACCACCACCATCGTCAACAACTACAATAGCATCATCATCAGCAGCAGCATCATCATCATCCCTCTTCCCTCTTCCCTCCTCCTGCGCCTCCTCCTCCGTCTTCTGCTCCTTCCTCCTCATTTCCCCCTCCTCCCTCCCAATCATCCCTCCTCCCTCCTCCCTCCGTCCTCCCCCCTTCTTCCTCCTCCTCCTCCTCCTCCTCCTCCTCCTCCTCCACCCATGCTCCTTATGAGTGGTTCCTATCTGTGGGAACCGCCCGACGCGGCGAAAGGGCGGACTTGGCGTGTCGCCCGAGGTTTCCTCACCATCGGCCATGATCCTCAGGCTTGCTATATGCAGCAGTTTCGAGGATGGAGGGAAACGGTTTTGAAAATATGGCTCTCGTGCAAGCGCCGCACCCATTAACCTCTCGAAAGCTTGCAACAGCTGCAAAGATGGAGGAGTGACAAATTCAAAATGAGGCTCCCCCCAAAGCGTCGCACACGTACTGTGTGAAAGCTTGCAACAGTTTCAGGGATGGACGGGGCGTGTCAAAATGAGGTTATCGCAGCAGCGCCGCGCACATTCGTCGCAAAAGTGTGCAAAAGCTTGAGGTATGGAAGGCGGCTCGTTTCCAACATGTGGTGTTCGTCTCTGAACGCTGCGAACGTGTGTTAAGAGTCTGCAACAGCTTCAAGGATGAAGGGTTGTGGTGTTTAAGAACTGATTTTAAAATGCGACTGTCGCCTCAGCGCCGCGCACACTGTGTAAAAAGTTCGCAACCGCTGTAAGGGTGGAGAGAGACACAGTTTCCAAAATGTGGTTCTCGCCTTAGCCCCACGCACGGTCGTCGCAAAAGTGTGCACCAGTTTCACTGAGGGAAAGGAAGCATGTTTCATATGCGGCTCTCGCCATAGAGCCGCGCACATTCGTCGCACAGGTGTGCAAACATTTCAAGGTAGAAAGGGGAAGCATGTTCCAAATGTTGCTCTCGCCGTAGCGCCGAGCACCTTCGTCTTCAAGTGCTCGAATACTTCACGGATGGAATGGGGTCGCTTCGACATTCGTCTTAAGATGATGCAGTTGTTTCACAGCTGAAAGGCGGTGCCTTTTGAAAGGGCTCTCGCCTGAGCACAGGGAAACTTCAAACATTCACAGCGGCTCGTTCCGATGATGGGGTTCTTGCCTCAGCGCCGCACGCAACCGTTTTTTCGCGTAAGGTCCAGCAGGAGAGGGGAATGCGTTTTTTTGAGCGTGGCGTTCTTGTTTGAGACGTCGCGAACCTTGACGACACGTCACTTCAACGCTGCACGGATCTGGGGTAGTTTTTGTTCAAATTCAAATGAAACTGTCACGTGAGACTTTTTCGAAAGTCAAGACCACAAGTGCAAACCTGCGAAACGGTTACACGGATAGGGGGCGGCCCTTCTTCGAAAAGGGGATATTGCTGCATGCCTCCCTGACCCGTTTTTCGCAATCCTGGCCACGCGCCAAACAGATGCGAGGCAATTCCTTTTCAAAACGGGGCCCTCGCCAAAATGAAAGGCCCAACCGCATTGACATTTCAAAGCGCGCTTCTTGCAGTGAAAAAGCAAGCTTGTAGGGGCACATGAGGAAGCACTTTGGGCCGGAAGGGCGTGTTGCAGCATCGTTGATGCATATCTGGCATACTCTGGTCCCTCCTCCTCCTCCTCCTCCCTCGTCCTCCCTCCTCCCTCGCATGATGCGTCGGTGATGCCTGCCTCCGGCGCGACTGAAAATTTGCCGGATCCCCTTTTTGACCTTTCGCTCGAACAGCAGCCTTCCAAGAAGTAGGGGTACTCTCATGTAGCACCCCCCCTCCCCCATCTCCCCATCTGCGCGTGGCCGACCCTCGCAGCGTGGGCCCCCCCGCGGGTTTTTTGGGCCTCGCCCTGGCACCCGCGCTTCCTTCCGGGCCGGGCTTCTGACAGCTCCAGGGCCGGACACGGGCCCCCAGGGGCCGAGAGTGCTTTACCACGCGAGCAGGTCTGGGCCCGGGGGTCGGACGTAGATATCCCCGGACCTGTTCAGAGGGGTGCGCTCGGGCCAGAAGTTCAAAGCGGATCCGGCCGCAGCGACGAGGAGCCTCGACTGGAGGCTCCTGGACGGCAGTCAGAGAAACAGCTTCGATGCTCGAACTTCGGGTGCTGTCAGGACGCGAGGGGCCCAGGGACAGTGACTGCCCGAAGGGAGAGGTCTCCTTGGGCCTGGGGCTGGGCGGGCGCGTACACGCCGAGTTCGGCCTGCAGCTGCTGCCACTCGGCCTCGGGGCCCCGAGCGGGAGGAGAGAGGAGGAGGAAAAAGAAGGGAGAGGAGGAGGGAGGACGAGAAGGAACTAGAATTGCCGGGGGGAATGCGAGAGAGGAAGCACGGCGGCGATACAGTAAGATGTATAGAGCGATACTTTTCCTTCTCAGCAAAGACAGTTGTCGCGCTGGCGATGGAGCAAAACGGCTGCAGGGCATCCCATTTGAGCTGGGATTGCGCGGGCGATCGACCAGCTCTAGACGGGACGCAAGACCGGAGAAAAAGGGAACCAGAACTTTCCAACTCCTGGCACATTCTTAAACTCAGCAGGGACACCCCGTCGCTGTCTGGCCTGACCGCGCGCGCGGCACGCGGGAAGCGAGCCCACCCCTGTTGGGGAGCTCGCCCGTGCTTTCACGGGCGGCACTGGAGGAGTTCACACGAGGAGGACTAACGCGAGTTCGGCCAGGCCGCATTTGCAATGTCTGGCGACCCCGGGCCGCGGACAACGAGGTCTGGAAGCCTGTCATGGAAAACCAAGCACGGTGGATGGGCCTGGGGCCACGCAGGGAGGCAGGGCCGAGGTGCGACGACGCCTTGACCGAGCACGGTGGAGAAGGCGAGGGATGGAGGATGACCACGATGAATGCGCACTCTCCCTCTGGCACCATCGCCTCGGGCGCACCACCTCAGTCGTCTTGAGGCTGGGAACCGCTGCGGTCTCGCTGCGCCTTCACCTCCTCGCTGGGCGCGCCTGGGGCGGCGCTACCCTGAAAAGACTTGCGGTCGTCGCCACCGCCGGCCGCGGCATCCAAAGCCGCGGCCGCACGCCGGCGCTTGACCTTCTCTCCTCCGCGGTGCATCTTCTTCTTGGGCTTGTCGCCGTCGGGCGCGGTCTGGCCCCTGCTCTGGCTCTCACCCTAGCCCTCGCCCACCACGACGGCCGCTTGCCCGCGAGAGCCGATCGGCGCCACGATGCCGGCGCGCCGCCAGAACGGACGCGGCAGAGACGGGCGCCATCCTGAGACGCGGGCGGCGCCGCTGCCGCAGCTTCCTTCCCTGCCCCACTGCTGCTCGCCGCACTCCCTCTCCTGGCCCCACGGCTTCTCGGGGCTGTGCGACGGGGGCCTTGGTGGGGAGTGCCATGGAGGAGCGGCCAGCGCGCGCTCATCCCTCGGCGACGGGAAGCGCGGCGATCTGGCCAGCGCGCGCTCGACCCGCGGCGTCTGGGAGCGCGGCGACCTCCGAGCCGAAGCGCGCGGGCCGCTCTTGCTGGCGGGCAGCCCCATGGCTGCCTCGTCCGCGCGGAGGCGCGGATCCTGGCCGCAGGCCGGCCAGGCGCCGAGGTCGACCATCTGCCGACACCCGCGGCGCTCGAACCCACCCTGGGGCGACCAAGCCACCCAGACCTGAAACAGCTCGGCGTTCAGCAGCACCACGAGCACACCGGTGGCCTCGCTGGCGCACGCGGGTCGAGCACCTGTCACCCAGCCCACGGCGCGGCGAGCCTCGCGAGCGAAGGCAGCTCGCACGATCGGCCACATGGCCACGCCACAGAGTAGGCACCGCCAAGCCATCGCGTCTGGGACAGGGGCGCCGATGCGCCAGTTGCCGAGGAACCCTCGCTGCACGACGGCCGCTGCGCCAGCTGCGCGCGGGACCAGACGACGCGGCGGCTAGGCGGCGCCGACGAGACCGCGCGCCCGCGCGGCCCGCCGGGCGTTCGCGCGGCCCGTCGCGCGCTCGCGCGGCCCAGCGCGCGGCTGGATGCGCGTTACTGTGGGCCGCCCTGGCCCGTCAATTAAAAAGAATATGTAAAAGGCTTCTTCTGTTCGCTGACATCCTCTGGGAAACTCTCGCGGACTTGCATCCCCGCCCAGAAAAAAAGTGGCCACGCAAACTCCTATCTTGATGCGCGTTGAAAGCAGTTCGGCGACACCAGTAGTAGCAACGGCGACGGCGGCGGCGGTGACAGTGGAACGAGTGGCAGTTGCAGTCGTAGATGTGGTGGTAGCAGTCATCGTAGTAGTAGTAGTAGTAGTCGTAGTAGTAGTAGTAGTAGTAGTAGTAGTAGTAGTAGTAGTAGTAGTAGTAGTAGTAGTAGTAGTAGTAGTAGTAGTAGTAGTAGTAGTAGTAGTAGTAGTAGTAGTAGTAGTAGTAGTAGTAGTAGTAGGAGTAGTAGTAGTAGTAGTAGTAGTAGTAGTAGTAGTTAGTAGTAGTAGTAGTAGTAGTAGTAGTAGTAGTAGTGTAGTAGTAGTAGTAGTAGTAGTAGTAGTAGTAGTAGTAGTAGTAGTAGTAGTAGTAGTAGTAATAGTAGTAGTAGTAGTAGTAGTAGTAGTAGTGGTAGCCGTCGTAGTAGTATTCGTAGAAATAATAGTGATAAAAATAATCGTAGTAGTAGTAGTAGTAGTAGTAGTAGTAGTCGTCGTAGTGGCAGCAATACGAACGATAGTAGTAGTAGTAGAAGTACTAGTAGTAGTGGTTGTAGAAATATAGTCGTAGTAGTAAGACTAGTAGTCATGGTAGTAGTAGTACTAGTAGTAGTGGCGAAACTAATAGTAATAGTAGTAGTAGTAGTAGTAGTAGTAGTAGTAGTGGTTACTACTACTACAATACTACTACTACCATTACCACTACGACTTACTACTACCACCACTTACTACTATAACTACTATACACTAAGTACTACTACTTTACTACTACTACTACTAATTATACGAGCTAATCCTATACTACTACTACTACTACTTAATACATACTACTTACTACTTACTTTACTACCCACACCACTACTACTACTACTACCTAACTACCATTTAATCAACCTTTACTACATACTACTACTACTTACTACTACTTACTAATTCTACTACGGATACGGACTACGAAATACTACGACGAATTACTACGAATTTAACCTACTCACTACTACTACTATACTACTACTACTAATATATTTACTAACACTTACTACTATTTACCATACTTCCAATTACTACTACTACTACTACGTACTACTACTATACTACTACGACTACTTACTAATACTACCACTATATTCTACTTTATAACTATACTAATCTCACTAATACTACTACTACGACTACTACTACTACTCCTACTACTTACCCTACTCTACTCTACTCCTACTCCTACCTACCACTACTACTACTACTACTACTACTACTACTACTACGACGACGATCACGACTACGACTACGACTACGACTACTACTACTACTACTACTACTACTACTACTACCACTGGCACCAGTATTACTAATACGACTATGTTACTACAACCACTACCACCACTACTACTACTACTACTAATAATAATAATAATAATAAGACTGCTACTACTAATACGACTATTGTTCGTAATACTGCATCCACACTACTACTACTACTACTACTACTACTACTACTACTACTACTACTACTACTACTACTACTACTACTACTACTACTACTACTACTACTACTACTACGACTACTACTACTTACTACTACTTACTACTACTACTACTACTACTACTACTACTACTCGGTCCCGTGCACCACATCACCACGGCTCAACCGCCTTGGGAAGAGCGTCATGGTGGCTGCCTCATTTCCAGTATGTAGCGAGCACCTCTTCTGGGTGAAAAGGCGGGTCTGACGTGCATGCAGCGGCGGGCGCATATCCGAGGGCAGCTGGTCCCTACGGCCCAAAGTAAAGCGACACACGGGGCGGCCCCAGCACCGCCATCGAGGCCAACTAGCGCAAGTAGGCGCGAGAAGAGGCCAGGATGGCAAGCCGAAATGGCTGGGCGCCCAGCGGCGTCGCGGCGGCACACGGGGCGACCCCGGCACCGCCAGCGAGGCCCACGAGCGCAAGCAGGCGCGAGAGGAAGCCAGGATGGCAAGCCAATTGGCAAGCCAGAATGGCTAGGCGCACAGATGACCGTGCGAAGAGCGGAGGCTTAAGCAACGGGAGCCGCGGCGCGAGGGGGGCACCACTGCGGGCATACCCGCGCTCGCTGGCAAGGCGGCGTTGCTAAAGCTGGGGCGCAAGCGAACCTACAGGTTCAGCACCTTTGAGAGTGGCAGGCTCGGGATCATAACATGGACTCACGTAGCCTCCCCGAGGGCTTAGAAGTATTCGATGCTGTGGGCCTGCAGAGTTTCATCATTCAGGCGGGCTGGCCTGCTCCTTGCGCAATGGCTGCAAAGACCTGCGACTGCAGCGCTTGCACTTCTCCCCCTGCCCTGAGGGTCCAAAGATCTGGCGCTCGAGATCCTCGCCGAGGGCCACGTTCAGGGCGGCAACCTTAGGGATCTGCTGCGGGAGCGGGTCCGTCGGCGGCGGCGGCACCACAGGGGGCGCCGTCAGCGGCGGCGGCGGCGGGGCCATGATGGCCGCTGGCGGGGCCCCAGCAGGCGGTGGTGGCGGGTCCTGGCTGCCGCGGGCCACGCCAGCTGGAGGGGCACTGGCGGCGCGGACGGGAGTGGCACGCGGGGCGACCCCGGTACCACCCCCGCCGCCCGTGAGGCTGCCCTCCCGAAGGTTGTGGCGGCGTTCGTAGAGCGCCAGTTCCACGCACGCAGTCGCCAGGCGCTCCCTCTTGGCCCTGTTCCGCTGCTTCTTGGTGTAGCCCGCCCACTCTGGATCGTTCAGCCCCCAGGCGACCTGCGAGCACAGGTCGGTCCACTTGACATCGGGCAGGCTCTCCCAGGAGAGCCCCTCCATTAGCACGCAGTGGCCCTCCCACTGCGGCTGCTGCGGAGCGTAGCGTTTGAAGACGGTGCCCACCGCCAACGGCTCGACCTTGGGCAGGTGCTTCAGGAGGTCCACAGCGCTGAGCACGGCTACCCCCGTCCTTCTTGAGCTTGTCGTAGCGCAGCAGGGCTTTCAAGTCGCGGATGTCCTCCTCGGGGAAGTCCGCGTGCATGTAGTACGCACGAGGCGGGTTCTGCTCATCCTCTTTCATCTCGATGCAGACGCCGTAGGAGGTCGCGTAGCGCGCACCACAAT